GAGATGACTTATGCAGAAAGCTTTCTGAACCTCTTCAAAAAGCTAAACACTCAGACATAGTACTCGTAGGAAATGACTTTAATGCCCAGGTAGGTAGCTTAAACAAAACAGAATGACATTTAGGTGAGTATTTTAGTGTTCCGGCTCAGCAGACAGATAATGGTGATCGTCTGCTGCAACTGTGCTCAAACAATCATTTATTTTTAATAAACACTAATTTTAAGCATAAGGAAAGACATCGTCTAGCATGGCAACCTAGTGCACCAAACCAACGATGGAATCAAATAGACCATATTGCTATCAGTCACCGTTGGAGAGGCTCGATAGAAGATTGTCGCTCGTTCTGGAATACCTTGTGGTGGTCAGTATTCAATATAATCCCTAAACTTCGTATACAGTTCGTCTTGATAACCATCACTAGATAACGCCCCAACGGTGTATTCATCAGAAGGCCAATACGAAGTGTTGATCAAGTTTATTATTGCACCACGCACAGATAACCAAAATTACAGGTACGCTAAGCAAGCATGAAATAGTAGTGCCGAAAAGTAAGCGAACGAAGCGAATCGAATGAGCAAGTATGCGAGGAGTCAATGAACAGAATTAAAATGTACATATATATACATAGGAAATCAACTAAGCGACTAATAGTAAGGCCAGCAGAATGAATGTATGCGTAGGCAGTAAGCAATACTCAGGTATACATATTCATACAAGTGCAACAATAATAAAGGTACAATAGTATAGATAATTTATTGTACGAATGATTCTGTCCGTTAAATAAGTTAACAAAAGGGCTCAACTAAATTAAATGTGAACAAGCTCAATTTGACGTGAGCTGCTGTAGCCTGTTTGGACTCCGATCATGCTCTGATACGAGCCCGCATTTGTTGGCGCCTCTCTGAACGCAGAAAGTCCACATTAAGAAGACTCATTATAGTTGAACTCAGTAAAGGGGAAACCAAAAGTAGATTCTAGGAACAACTGAAGTCACACTTAGGTAGTTCTAAAAACTAGGCTCACCCAAATGTTGCTCGGAAAGATATACGAACAGCTGTGGAAACACCGAAAGGTTACGAAAAACCAATGGATCTCTACTAAGCCTATTGCACTGATAGATTCTCGTAAACTCATATCATCAGCTTCTGGACACGACAAAGGCAAATCAGACCTAGGTTAACCAAAAGTCTAAGGAACAACCGTGGGCAGTGGTGGGAAACGAAAGCAAAATAGATGGAAAAGGCATCAGCTGTACGTGACAAAAGACAGCTTTACAGACTAATAAAAGAAACTGGAATTAAGAAGCCGTTCGTGAGACGATCTCAGAAAAAGAGGACGCTTATCAGCTCTCATCTCAGACATTTAGAACGATGGGCGAAACACTTTAAGGAGCAGTTCAGCTGACCTTCAGCTACTCTACAACTATCTACCATTCCCAAACAGCCTGAATGGAACATTGAAGTAGGTCTCTCAACTATAGCTGAAGTCCAAAAAGTTATAGCTAATCTGAACGAGGAAGTGCAGCTGGTCCAGATGGATTGGCTCCAGATGTCTTTAAGGATGGTAGTCCAGTTTCAGCGATCAGGTTGGCTAATATTTTAGCTAAAATCTTGGAATTGGTTGTAGTCTCATGTGCTGGTCGCAATCACTAATCATCCAAATATGTAAGAATCAAAATCACCTTGTGATAACCATAAAGAAACTAGTTTAACTAATATAGCATTTAAAATACTAGCCTTAATAATTATCGAGCATTTAGCAATGACTTGTGAACTGCAAACACGAGGAAATCAGGCTGGTTTCAGAACTGGTCGTGGCTGTATCGACCACATATTCACCATTCGTCAGGTTCTACAACACAGGCATGCTTATTAGCGTCCGACAATGATAGTTGTTCTTGGCTTAAAAGCAACTCAAGCTGCCAGCTTTGGGGAAATTTTGGGGTTTGCGTCTTATTTCCCCAAAGTTGGCAGCTTGGGAACATTTGACTCTGTAAACGAGAGGTTCTATGGCAGTGTCTGTCCTTGAAAGGTGTACCTCAGAAGCACATAAACCTTGTGAAGGCTCTCTACTTGAACACTACCAGTCGAATCAGAATCTATGACAAACTGACATCTGATTTTGAAACTTCAAGTGATGTCTGTCAAGGATGTCCATTATCATAGACCTACTGCTGAAAATAACGTTCTCTTCGTCTGAATTTTCGGGCATTGGTCTCCTTCCAGGAGATCCACTTATCGACTTGGAACACACAGTCCTGTTTGATGAAGACGTTGATAAAATGCAGTTTCTTAGTAGTACTGAGCATTAATGCCAGGATGTTTGGGATGCGTTCCTTCCTCTTTAAATAGGAATAGTTGCTTCAGAACTGGCCTGCGTCAACATCTGAACTGATGATAGGAAGTGAATTAGTCGAACACGTCGACAACCCCACTTATCTTGGAATTCTGATCAGCTCTAATGGGTCGGTGTCTGATGAAATCTCAGCACGGATTCGAAAAGCTCTTTTGGCTTTTTTTCAACTTACGTCACATATGACGAAGGCGAGATATCTGTCTATTAATAGAAGGACGAGTATACTACGCAGCAGTTCGTTCTGTTCTACTTTATGACTGCGAAACGTGGCCATTAAGAGTAGAAGGTACTCGTGAGTTAGTAGTATTCGATCACAGATGTCTTAGAAATATTGCTCGCATCTGCTGGGATCACCAGATAAGCAATAGTGAAGTTAAACGCAGAGTATTAGGGAATGATGGTAAGCCAAGTGATTTTGTAAATCATCAACTGAGGTGGTTGGGCCACTGTTACGTATGCCTGGACACCGATTACCACGACTCGCAATGCTGACTAGTGTTGGGGATGGCTGGAAGAAAGTTAAGGGCGGCCAAACCAAGACATGGCATCAGTGCTTGAAGTCACTAACTTCTGGTCTGAGCCATGTTGGTAGATGCAGGCTACTTGGTCGGGGTCCGCGTGACCATCATAACCAATGGCTGGAGACTGTGACATGGCTCAGAATCGATCAAATTAGCGTAGATGTATACACCTTTTGTCTTCCCTTAAACCGTGAGATAAAAATTACTTTATACTTCACTTCCTACGAACTAATTCTTTCTTCCTGAAATATATCCTTTTATGCAATCTTTATTTTATATATTGCTACCATGGAAGTGATTACTTCTATGAATTTGGTGTTCATCTTGGTGTGCTAATTAGGTGTGGCTACTCGGACCGGTGCATATATGTGCCTGGTCCTACGTTGTAGCTGACTGAATGACTTCCCATACAGTACCTTACTATTCTGATGGTTTTGTCAGCTTGTACTATATACTGAGCAGCCGTGTAGAAGTCAGCTGAATTTTAGTAGACTTAGCAATTACAAATTTTACTACCTATTGCTTCCAATCCAGTGTACACTGACGTAAATAAATATTGCGTCCCTCTGGAAATAATGTCTTCTGTTTATCATAACCTGTTAGGAAGAATTAAATAAGCAACTGAAGCAAGAAAAAGAAGATGAGGTAACAAAAAAGAAACTAAGGTTCTCTAAGGTGAAATTGGACTTGAACAAGTGTTTACAGGAAAAACTATTAAGGAAATCAGAAGAACGCAACCAAGAAGCTCAGTACGACAATTTACTAACCCTTTTAAACCAACAAGTAGATAAAGAGAGGAGTGGAAAGCAGAGGGACAAGGTAATGTATTCCAGGAAATGTATTTTTACATATTTTTATTGACAATGAATAACAAAGTTGTTTACGTGTTTATAAACTAGGTATATAAAATCAAAAACGTTTGTTACTAAATAAGTCAAAAAGATATGACTATTTCTAGCACATTTACAAAGTTTATGAAACGTAAACGTTAGTGGTGTTTGGTATTGTATATTATTATTAACGTTTAATTTATTGTCGAAATCCATTTCGCTTCATAAATTCTAGGCAGTGAATGTACTTGCAGAGAGATAAGTTTGTTTCATAAATACTTAACACTGATGTGGTGGTAGAACATTTAGACGCTGCTATGTTTTGTCAGCTAAACATTTTTGTATATTGGGAAGATAGTCTAGCACCTTGTATTAAAACTGCATGTATTTAGAATTCTCTGATAAACAATGTGTAATAACACTATGTACCTCGATCAATATTACAACTCAACGTCCAAAAATATAGCTATCGGTTAATAACTTTTATCACATGATTGCTAATACAGATTAGGTAAAATCACCATCACATTAAATGTTTACACTTCATGAACTGATTTTAACTTTCTTATCGTTAGCTCAGATCCATTCCCATCATAACTGTTGGACTTATTTACTTACCTTCCCGGCAAATTAACTGGATGTTCTCACACCAAAAATCATTCCCAGTTGTTTCTAAATTCAACAAATCAGTGATCTTTAGAGACCGTCTATTGTAGGTTTGGGAAAATCCGGTTCGTGATTCATTATTTATACACTACTAGGCGTAGTCGGTAATCAAACACTACTAATTTTGGCTTGTTATGACAATTTTATTCGTTTTCTATTGATTTCTTTATTCTTTGTAATTACCACAGACGTTTTGTATCTTAGTCAGAGAGAAATATGAAATTCGGTGTCGATGGTGTTCTAATGTTTAGCCCAGATTCTGTATGGTCAACGTCTTATGCAAATGGAAGAAAATCTTACAGCAAATTCCAGGGGGACCTTACCTCTTAAGTAGTATCATAATGTAAACAAGACCGGAAATTAATTATTGTGTTAGCAAACTATTTTATGTGATTACTGAAGACAACGTGCTGAATGAGAGATGTTTCTTTTCTTTAAAGTATGATTACAAATTGCTGACCTGACAATGTGAAGGTAATCAGAAATAGGATTTACTGAAAAAAATTTTCCTTGGTTTTAAATAGCCCAAATAAAAAAACCAATTCAATCATTCAACTTTTAGGTTACTTTAAAGAAAGAGGCGTTACAGTATTTAGAGCATGTTCGTAATTCAAAAGAAGCCGAAAAGATGTATGAGGAAGAAATTAGCAGAAGTATTGACGAACATATTGCAAAGCAACAAAATCTTGGTCACCATAAGAAAATGCAGCTTCTAGTAGCTAGAGAAAATTTGAAAAATGATGTAAACGAAGTATGTCGACAACAAATAATGGAAAAAAGTTAGTTGTATGTCTTTATATAGTATTTTATTATATTATCCCAAAATGGTATTAGATAAATATTTGTTAATTTGTCTATTGTGTGCCTTAAAATATCCTTAGAATGTTTGTAAATGTGCAGAAACGTTTTCTAGATTCAACAAATATTGACAACTACTCCATGATATTGCCATCAGTTTCAAGCTTCCTGGTAAAAGTAACATGTTGGTTACAAATCATATTGCAAAAATAATATCAGTGGATCTAGGATGACACAGGTTTCATTGAGTAGGAATAATAATCCCAATGGATAAACGTCTGAGTTTTTTTGTTAAGTCCTTGAGAAAATGGAACCATTAATTATCCAGGGTACTGGTGACTCACTATTTGTTTTGGAAAACATAAATGACTGCACTAGTTTAGCGTTCATTTAAAATATAGCCAAAATATGAAAAACTATAGTTACAGATTTTACTAAATATCTGGCTAAAAGGTATCAAATCTATTTCAGTCACAACACTTCTACGTATTTCATGAATAAAAATAGGTATGCATCATCTGACTGTCTCAAGTGATCAATTTGTAGGACGTGTAAAATATCGCTGGACCCTTGTTGAATTGTCTATGAAGCTGAACTTATCCCTACCTTGGAGGACTTGTCAATGATTAGGTTGTTTGACGACCTACATTCAAGTCAAATATAGACAACTAGGGTTGACCATTACAAACTACAGTACTAATACAAGCAGTAGTCGATTGCTTCTCGTCCAGATTCATACTCTATGTGTCTAAGCAAAAGGTTTAAGTGGCAAGACTTTATTCGCTTTCTGAATCTTCCTATACAAGCTGAATAGCCGTAAAGATGACACAGATATACAGGATTCTACAATGCTCTTGTCTGTATCATTTTTATAATTTAAAGATATCAACCCAGACAAATCAGAAGTCAGAGATGGATGCGTTCAAAGATACATCTGTAAGGTTTTCGAGACGTGGAGAACCATTTGATCTAAGCTGGCTAGTAGTTGCAAGGGATCCGTAGCACGACGTACCCACTCGTGATCGGGTGTGGGTGCGCTTTTAGCTAGGGTGTGTTCAGTAAAACTACTGAGGCCAGAATCAATGTCGAAGACTCACGGAGCTCTTTATTATGAGGACTCATTTACTGCTACAGCCGGACCGCCAAGTTAGGTGAAGTCAAGCTAAACAGTTATTGCACATTGTGAATCCAACGTAAGATTGCGTACTTTGCGCAGTCACACTATTCATGTACAACCCCAGGATATTAACACCCACACTAAATCTCATCCAGCTAATGAATATGGGATGACACCATTTTGAATTTGAAATACGGCCTGTGACTGAGATCGTACTATCACTAGATATTCGGTCGATACTTTATACATAAATTGAATCAATTTACACCAGATACACGATTTACGTCCAAAAATAGGAAGCCACAGTACGAGCTAAACAATTCTTTACTCAACACAATTACAAGCAATCAGTAGTCAGTGATTGCATCAGTCAGTCAGTCAGTAACAACGTAGAACTTTGTACGTACATACATCAGTTCGAGTTGCCACACCACCTTGGCACAGAGATGCAGTTGTCGATTCAAATCCCGTAGTGGTAGAGGTAATAAGAGTACAAGCAGTAATCGGGAAGATTAGGGTTTGGAGATGTTATTTAAAGAGTATAATACGGTGAAATAAATTTGGAAAGAGGAAAAAAGGGACATGAAGAATTCAGAAGATTAGAATTTGGGAGAACACAGAGAGTGGATGCACCTGCGCCATTGCAAACGATTTTGCGCCATGTCATTCAGGGTCTCTAACCATAGGTTGTGGGCGTCTGTGTTCTAGAAACTGACGTAGTGTGAATATCTGATCTATACAACCACGTTCAGGTCGAAAACCGGCCTAGTTTTCTCTAATCTGCTCTTCACGAGCTTTGGTTAGGCGTCGAAGTATTATTGAAGCTAATATTTTAGACACTATATTAGTCAAACTGATTCCTCTGTGATTATCACAAGAGGACTTTTGTCCTTTCTTATAGACTGGCACAATCAGTGATTGAGACCAGTCAGATGGGATTACGTCCAGTTCCCAAATTCTACCTAAGACCTCAGTTAATCTCATTGCTAATACTGGACTACCATCCTTAAAAATCTCAGGAGTAAACCTGTCAGGGCCTGCTGCTCTCCCTCGTTTCAGATTTCCTATGGCTTTTTCAAATTCATAAGGAGTCGGATGATCTACACTAACTTGCCATTCAGGTTGACTAGAGATCGTGAGAAACCGAAGTGTGGCTGAAGGCCAGTTGAACTGATCCCTAAAGTGTTCTGCCCATCGATCCAATCTCCTGGATTGAGAATGAATAATATGTCCATCTTTCTCTGAGATTGTTTCGCTAACGGTCGGATTCCTAATACCGGTTTCCCTAACGAGTCTGAACAACTGTCTGCTATTACCTATTGCCGCTGCCTTTTCCATTTCTCTTGCTTTCGCTACCCACCACTGTTCACGATCATTGCGTAGACTTCTTGTCAGCTTGCGCTTAAGCTAACTCCGCTCCTCATTATGTTCAGAGCCAGGTGGAATGAGTTTCTGAGCATCTATCAGTGCGATAGATGCTGCTGAGATAGCGTTTCTCCCTAACCTTATGGTTTACCTGACTAGCAGATATCACTGCTGTTTCCACAGCTTTTCGAATATCATTCCATGCTGCCTCGGGGTGGGCATCACATACATGACTGCCTAACTGTTTTCTTAGTTGTTCCTGAAATATACTCTTAGCTTGACTATCATTAAGTAGGGCCCTAAGAGGTTTCCTTGCAGGATCTTTCCTACGTCCAGTAAGACGCAAGCAAATATGCGCTCGCACTAGAACATGATCTGAATCTAAGCATGTGCTCCAGAATGAGCGAGTCTTCTATCGAGCCCTTCCATCGATGGCTGATAGCGATGTGATCTATTTGGGTCCAACGTTGGGACGAATTAGGGGGTCGCCATGTTAATAGATATTTTTCCTTAAGCTTAAAGTTAGTATTTGCAAGAAAGAGGCGGTTATCTGAGCATAGCTGCAACAGACGGTCGCCGTTATCTGTTCTTTGAGCCACAGCACCATAAGATCCACCTAGGTGTCTTTCCCTATCGCTTAGTTTACCTACTTGAGCATTAAAGTCACCGGCCACTATTACTACATCCGAGCGCCTAGCTTTTCGGAGAAGGTCGGAGAGCTTTCTGTAAAACTCATCTTTTACATCATCTGCGCTGTAGTCCGTGGGAGAATAGGCAGAGACGACGAAGAGGCAACGACAAGTGTCCCTATCTTTTCGGATCCTTACTGTTCCGTTCAGTCGGACAGCGCACAAACGACTGTCTACTGGGATCCACTCTAAGAGAGCTAGTTCTGCCCTAGGACTCAATGCTATACCTACGCCGGCGAGGCCACGGGAAGCAGAATCTGGGCTTCCAGATACACGAAATGTGAATCGAGTCGGTTATTTATTTTGGAATGATGAGGTCAAGTGAATGACACTTCTTGGATCCTGTATGTGCGTTTCGGAGACGCAGCACACACCGATGGCGTGAGATTCTAAAGTCCTAGCTAAGGAAGCCTGCTGTCCTATTTGGTACAGTGTTCGTACGTTAAAAGCTCCTACGTGTAGTTTAGAGCGTGGTTTCAGGAGACCAGGAATAGCGTTCCGCGTACTCGAATCGTTTGCCATAGCGGCGCGAGATGATAAAGAGACGTGAGGAGGGTTAGTCGGAGAGATAAGAGAGGTATTAGGAGGTGTAGGAAGGATTTGAATGTGACCAACGTGGTCTCGTGTGCTGTTACGGGTATGAGGGCTGATGTCACTTCCCGGCTGCCCACACCGTGGAAGGGTATTTCTTGAGGAACCTGGAAAGGAAATTGGATTAGTGTTGGTCTTAAAGACCTGGGAGCGTGAGCGTAGAGCCCAAGGGACAACTGCTTGAGGCCGGTCACGCACGGCCTTTTCGTGGAAGGTTTTTAATGCGTTAGCTCCGTTCTTCAAAGGGCCTTACTGCCGGAGACGGGAATCCGTGAGGTAAGGTGAGGTGTGACATCTTTAGGGTCGACCTTTTCTAACCCCACCCCTCCTTGTGGGAAGGCAGCATCGCTGTCATGCCGGTTGTCCGAGGGAAACACCTTACTGCTGTCACACCTCTCTACAGTCAGCAGTACGACTTCGCCCTCAGACCTTGAGTTGCTGCTTTTAGTCTTACCGTTCACCAATCGACCTGCCTGGCATGGTAGAACCTGCAGGAACATATGTTCTAGCCAATATAGCTCGGTTGGGTCATCACGATAGGCAAGCCCGACCACCGCGTCAAGGTAGCATCTTCGGTCGGGCAGTGATTGCATAGTAAAATTAACAATAGGAAGGAGACCACATATTTGATAGTTGGCAATCTTAGTGTCTGTTTGCTCTCATTGGCCAATCACATTTTACTTCCGCTAGTCACACGCTGAAGGTGTGATGTGGTTTGAAATACTATTCGAGCTGATATTAGAAGACATCTTCTTATATCATTATCGAAATTCATCAAAGGGACTAATTGTTTTAATGTCTTATTATATGTTTTTTTTTAAGGAAAAAGGCAGGATGAAGAAAAACTTGAACACATAGAAGAAGTGAAACAACTGAACGAAGTTATTGAACGAATGAAGTTAGATTCTAAGTATGAGCTGCAGTTGCGACGCCAGAATGTTGAGACATATCGTAACGCCTTAGAACGACAAATCGCTGACCAGCGAACTAGATATCAACAACTAATAGCTGACAATGCACGGGAGTTTGAGAAGAATAAGAAAACAGAGGAACAGCTAACCGAACTTGTGCATAATATCGTTAATTCAAATGAAACTGACTACAACAGACATCCATGGCAAAAACTGTTGGCTACTGGTCACTGGTCTATTCCAATGTGGGATGGTGAACCTCAAATATCGAAATTTGCAAGTGCAAGGTATTAAACCAGAAAATTAATATTATCCAACGTATTTGACCGTTTTCACCATAAATCTAAGAAGAATTATTACTATTGCCGTTGTAATTGAAACATGTTAAACCACATGATTTTACTAAAGCATCATTGAGTAATTTGCTCAATGAAAATGAAAAAAGATCATTTATTCTATATGCTGCTTTCCATACCTATAAATGGTTGGTCACTATGTTATAGGTGAAGTATCGACCGAATATCTAGTGATAGTACGATCTCAGTCACAGGCCGTATTTCAAATTCAAAATGGTGTCATCCCATATTCATTAGCTGGATGAGATTTAGTGTGGGTGTTAATATCCTGGGGTTGTACATGAATAGTGTGACTGCGCAAAGTACGCAATCTTACGTTGGATTCACAATGTGCAATAACTGTTTAGCTTGACTTCACCTAACTTGGCGGTCCGGCTGTAGCAGTAAATGAGTCCTCATAATAAAGAGCTCCGTGAGTCTTCGACATTGATTCTGGCCTCAGTAGTTTTACTGAACACACCCTAGCTAAAAGCGCACCCACACCCGATCACGAGTGGGTACGTCGTGCTACGGATCCCTTGCAACTACTAGCCAGCTTAGATCAAATGGTTCTCCACGTCTCGAAAACCTTACAGATGTATCTTTGAACGCATCCATCTCTGACTTCTGATTTGTCTGGGTTGATATCTTTAAATTATAAAAATGATACAGACAAGAGCATTGTAGAATCTTGTATATTATTTAAGGCCTTTGACTTTCCCTCGTTTTATATTAGTTAGATAATTTTCAACCCCCTCAAGTCATTTTTGTATCCGGAGAATCTTTTGTTTTTGGTATTTAAGATATGATACCTTCTGAGTGAATAAAATGCGTTTGGATCAAGTAGAAATATTTTTGTGGCACTATCTGAACTATTGCGTCTTCAAAAACTGTGTTTTGGAAGAGAAAAGCTTTATTTTAAATCCATATTCAGAATATTATATCGGTGGCCTACTCAAGTTAGTCGAGAATGGTGCAACGAACCAGCTAACGTCGAAGTCACAACTCGTGGTCAACACCATACGTGGACTACCCCATTGACGTATCAAGGCACTTTAGATGCTTTGAAGACTGTGCAACACAGAGGACGTTATTACAGAAATACATTAGTTAAGGTTGATACAAGCGAAAGTAAGATCACTACCGCATAGGCCAGTCCATGGTGTAACACATGTAATCAGCAGTCACTGATAGGCGGGAAGACCTAAAATCACAACACACACAATGTTAACCGAGCACTTCATACCAGAGAGAACACAGAATGGAAACCACCAGTTGTTTGTATGAAAATTAAAATTTGCGGGTTATGTACAGAAGGGAGAGCTAGTTTACAAAACAGTTTAATGAGTCATCCTGAAGGTTCAGTGCATGCGGAGCTTGCTCTTCTTCTAAAGCATTTACTCTCGGTTGCCCTGCAATAGAAAAGGAAACAGAATACATCAACAACACTATACACGATGACCTTAAATACCGTTATAATGGCGTACGATTAACTGGTGCGCGTTGAATGTCATCGACCTTGACGAGAACAACGATTTGTCGATATTCAGTGACCCAACTGCCGGAGGAGTTGGATAGGGCTCAGTGAAATTTCACTGCCCTTCTGTACCACTTATTCTTAAGGTTTAATTACTTTGTTATTCAATACAGGAATCGTGGAATAGTTTACCTATTTCATTCGATACTCAACTATCTGATCTGAATTTACTGAACCTAGTAATAAGTTTTTGATTAATAATTGATTAAGTACATTGAGTGGTCATCTAACCACGCGTATGCACCACAGCTTGAGGCTTCTTGTCTTTGGCGCTTTCATCTAGCAAGATGAAGCTTTTCTTTTATCGACATATTATCACTATAATTTAACAAAGACTAAGTCTCAAAGTCATTGTATGTACATCTGTCTCATTTCCTGACATTTCGAGTTGCAAGTGATTTTGCTACATTTGATTCCCAGTATATCTTAATTCTTCCAAATAAGGCTACTAAGTTTCCCGTTCCTACGTACTGTTCCATATTTAAGTTAAGCTACTTTTACTGATATACCCACGTTGGATCTGATATTGTAACTCAGTAAACGTCAGGTAGCTCAAGACTGCCGCACAATCTCCTCACAGTTTTCCGATCCTACATTAATTTTTGCAGTTCATATTATACGTTTCCAAGTTCAAACACTATGTCATGCTTTCCTTAGATATCATACATCGTCTTTTCATAAATTACTATGATATACGGATACGCCGTTCAACTAATAGAGGTCTTACGTTTGTTAAGCCTTAAAACTATCACTTAAGCAGATGACCAAAAACATTATCAACTTCAAAGTGGTGTGACTCTGTTCTTGTCAATGTTCCACTAGTTTAATGCTTTCATATTCATTTTATTAACTCACTTCTGTGTTGATCTCGTTGCTAATTGTCTTATTGTTAGGTATTACATCCCCGTATCGTTCCACTTACTCCATTATACACCTATCAATCATCATGTTTTCCTGATAACTAATACTTTATCCGAAAACTCATACGTTATCACGTAGAAATTTACAACACTGCATCGATGCTCAACCCGCAGCCCGTAAGCCATAATCGTTTGATGTACCTAAAACATGGTACTTGAAGAAATAGTTTTCATAATTAGGTATAAAAGAAAAAGCCTTGAGTAGAACATAATCTATTCAACAATCCCCGTGAAATAGCCTAGCATCGAAAAATTGAGAAAAGGTGATTTCATTGACCACTAAAGGTTAGTTATTAGCAAATTAAATTCATCCGTGCTTGTGTAAGAGATAATTTTTTTGTCTCCGGCTCTCTATAATTGGATGCGAGGCGACTATTCAATGAAACTTAGGTTGTTCTCTCATGCTTGCTATTTCTCAAACTCACGTTTTGAATCGCTTTAGCTATGATATACTACTAAGATAACATAGTACATTCTAATACCGACTTTTATTCTACGACTAAAATGCTGACATTTGGTCACAGAAATAGTAAACAAATAATAAAGAATGTGCTAAAAATATTAGCGTTTTAAAACACTTCACATCCATATGATGATTTATGGAATTTATTGAGTAGGTTTCTGGATTTATAATTCAGTTTTCGCCCTCCTACTCAGAATCATTTCACTTCGTTACAATTTGCAGTTTATTATTAACTGTTTTGCAATTATTCCGCAGATTTACGAACTGTAGTTTAGTGTCAGTAATTAGTATGAGCCTGACACAATAATCAGGAATATACCTGTTTCTGCATTGCAAAAATTTAAGGATCGTTTATGATTAAAATAGATTCTCTCAGCCACTGGACTTCTCTCTTTTGTTTTAAGCAACAGATTTGCAGTTATGTGGCTTCTACCTTATACGAGTCGTGTCCACAATGTAGGCAACCGCCTCTATCGTACCTAATAACAAGCGCTAGTGTTCTATCTACAACTATGGACATTTCATTACTCAAACATATCGAATTATTAACGTATATATTTTTATGTAAGCGATGGCTTCACAAAATGTGTATCAATCTGTCATTAGGAACATCTAAACTTTGCTGAAAACCAGCTTCATCCTGAGTGTGTAGAGAATGAACTTTTCAGATAAAGTATTTGGGTTTCTAATTCTGATAAAAAAGTTGTCAAGTGCTGGTGTTCCCTCATTGAGTTTGATATTATATGAAGAGGACACTGTGAATTACAGATATTGTTAGCTCAGTTCTTACCCTTGACTGAAGTGTTGAAACTCTGGTGGTTAACATTCCTGGTGAGGAAAACACCCAGTCTACAGTGTAGCAGCAAATAAATCCCCAAAATATATAGCTCTGTCAGTCTTCGACATTAGATGCTGACCACATTAGTTTTAATGGGCTTACATAGCTGAAGGCGATCGGTCACACATCCGCACCAGATCACGAGTGGGAACGCCTTGATCAACATCCCCTGCAATCGCTAGCCAGATAAGATCAGACGATCCTCGATATATTGATAGTCAATCAAATATATCTACAAACCTCCCCGCTTCTGGCCTTTGATTTTATTGGGTGGGCACGATTCAATTATAGAAGTTATTACCGGTTGAAGAGTTGTCAAACTACGAATACCTGTGACATCTTCATTGGTGAGTTGACGTGATCTGGTACAATTACTTGCAAACTGTCTGTTCCTTTTTGGAATTTCATATATCATTGCTTAACTTTAATGTTTATATATTGTGATGTTTTTTCGTTTTTTGGATATATCATTCGGGTACTTCATATTCTCCATGATGGAACAGACACTTAAGGTATTTAAGTTAGAGACTACGAGCACTGCGAAACCGATACCCTTGCATAATTCCCAGCAGTAGTCAAGGCACTACCGCCCGAACATAACAAGTACGTAACACCTAGTATGTTAATTAGTGGTGTTTCGGAACCCTACGAAACTCTAAAACGTGGAGACCTAACCAGTCGAGAAAGGTTAGACTAACACCTTAATAATATCGATCTGCACAACGGTTCAGCGACAGACATGTTGTTAAGAACGAGAGAAGCAACTGGTTAAAGAACTTTCGATGATGGCCTATTTAGACAACTTACTTGTCTAAACTCCCTCAACAGGTGCAAGCTGTTCTGATCTCAGCCCAACCGCATCTTAGAGATTACCAAATCTTTTAACACCGAGGTTTATTCAGACAAAGAACAACCTCAAGCCACACAAAATGACATTACGGAACTATGTCATACGCTGACATGTTGCCTTCCAATTCGTAATGACCGTAAACGATCAGAAACCCCGCAAAGTTATTCACGAAAACGATCTGTCTTTAGACCACAACTGGTGCTGGTGTCACAATCAGTACGGTAAATCTTTTCGGAATTATAGAAAACCCTGGGGTTTTTCGAACTCCAATTCGACCAACAAGTAAAACATTAACGCGTTAACGGCAGCCGTATTCGGCGATCCCAGCCGTCTGTTATACGTCACTGATTT